ATCGGGCCGGGCGTCCACCAGAAACTGTATGAAGTCGTTGTACTTGCGATGACTGTCCGGATCGGACTTACGCTCGTTTATAAGCCGTCGGCCGATATCCACGAAGAACTGATGGGCCGTTTCCGGGACTCGAGATTTTAAGCCGATTGCTTTCACCACAAACTTTGGCAAAAGCAATACAATGATTGTGCGGACAAAGTCTACGTCCAGTATCTGTCGGGCGGACGTCACAAACGCCGACGAGTGGTCGTTGTGTGCGTTGGCATCGGTGCCAAAGGCCACGGCGGCGATCACGTCCATCGTGTAGTTGCCGCACATCTTCTTGAGGTCTACACAATCGCCGCACTCCATGTCCACCACGTGTGTCATGAGTGCCCGCAAACACTGTCTGACTATTGGATACATTTTGCGTATTTTGGCCGAACTGAACGTAGGGCTGGCTATCGAGCGGATACGGCGCCAGTTGTCTCCCCGCGCGTGAGACAAACTCTCTCGATAGAGGAAATGATTGGTCGGTCGCATCCGTCTATCGATGAACACGTGATAGTCCTTAACCACAATCTTCTTAATCAGTTCCGGTTTGGTCACCACTAATATTGGTTGATTGCTGTCATATATTCTGCAAATAATAACATAATTAATATACAAATGATCTAGTATCAATTAATTTATCTACTTATAGCTCGATACATGAGATAACTAATTATATTGAGTAGAGGTATTACCCGTATATCTGGCCATATTTGCGGCCCCACTCAATGTCCAAAAAACATCGAGGTTTAAGCAGCCAATAGATAGAGTTACCTAAAAATGGTACCGGTTTTGGACCTTTCAAGCCCATCTTGGTGAAATGATTGAATTGTCGAGATATTCGCCTTATGTTACATGTAAATAACAAGTGCAAAATAATATATTATTTATTATGATAATTATTTAAGTGAATGATTATTAATTTTGTATGTTTATTATAATTACCAGTAAAATATGGTCACTACAAAGATGGTTGCAATCGTGATCCATGAACTCAATGACAATTGGCTTAATAACAGCGTTAAATCCATTGTTCAGATTAACTGTATTTAACAATTTTACAAATTAGTACTTATTGAATGCATGATTATAACTGTTAAAGAGATTTTATTATTGAAAATACAATTCAAAATGGTTATTAAAATTATAAATATTTTTAATTAATAAAATCTTACAATTTTTAATATACAAATAAGAGGCAGCAATTGTAACCCTAGACTTTACAACATACTTTATATTAATTCACAGTTGCAAATTAATTTTTGCCACTGTAAGGAATAAGTTTGTAAGTAATTATATTTGTTATTTTATATAACTAATTAATATTTACAAATAAAATATTTTAAAATTATTAATAAAACATGTTAATTACATTATAAAATTATATACTGCCTCAATTTAGATTGATTAACATAAATTATGAAATATTAATAGTTTAAATAAATATTTCGATTTAAATACTATTTTAAATAATTTATATAATCATAAAATAAAGAAGATAATATTACTTTATTATTGCATAAAAAATAAATATAATCACATAATAAGTAACATTTCAATTATCTCTTTTGAATGCCGACCACAACACTAGTGGCCGACAGGAATGGGACGGCTTTCCTATACTCTAAGGGAACGGACGTCTGTTCCGTACGAACGAAACGAAATCTCTGTATAATGTGAACGAAAGCCAATTTCACTTCCATTAACGCAAACCTCATACCAATGCAATTGTGAGGACCGGCGCCGAAAGGCAGGTATGTGTAGGCAACGAGTTTATGCCTGTTTTGTGGCATAAATCTATCAGGGTCAAATTGGTGGGCATTTTCATAATACTCTTCCGAGCGATGTATAGCATAGACCGGTATTTCAACGCATTTTCCCTTCTCTATTGTGATCCCAGTGTCGGCCAACCTATAGTCGGCTTTAGCCTTACGATCGAGCCGTACGACCGATGGGTATAGGCGTAGAGTCTCGGAGATAACGGCGTCCAGAAGTGGGAGTTTTGCCAACTCGTCGTAACTGATCTCTCCCTCCGAGTCCACCGAAGACACGATCTCTTTGTACAGTCGGTCCTGAATATGTGGATTGAGTGCCAACTCGTATGAGCCGTAACCCAATGTATTGGATGTGGTCTCAGAACCGGCCAGAAAGAAGACCCACGCCTGAGCCACCATCTCATCCATTGTTAACTTTTTATTGATAGCATTCACAGCCATTGACTTCATTTTCAATTTATCATCATTTGCTTAAAATTAATTATTTATATGTAAAATGTAAACTCAATTTCACATTAACGTCA